TTATGATTGTAAGTATATTAGTATGAAATCTGTGAGGTGACACTGAGCAGAAATTCAAGGCTTAAACAGTTACATTTTCTCCACTAAACTTTTTTACTACAAACATACTGTAAGTGAAAAGTCTTATTCATATGGTCCAAAGCGTGCATTCTTACATGACTTGTGTAAATTTCTTGTGGGTATTAAATGAAACTTAGCCCATTTGAGTTCAGTAATGGTTCTGTTGGTTGTTCCGATCCTCTTTGCTTGGATTGGTCTTTAGATACTGGTAAGTAAACAGCATTTTGTGTTCAGTAGTTTCTCTCCTACAAGATAAGTGTGTTTGTACTGTGGAAAGGAGCAATGTTTCAAAAGGAAAAAAGGGTTTTTGGTGAGTAAAGGTCAACGAAAAACATAGAGCACACAAGCAAAGCTGTTACTTTTCTTTTTATTTCAGAGTGCTCGTCTAAGGGCTGCTGGGTTTGGAAAAGACTTCAAAGAAAACCCCAATCTCAGGGATAACTGGACTGATGCAGAAGGCTATTACCGTAAGTTGTATTTGTTGGTTTGTAAGGACAGCTATAACAAGGGTGCTGAACAGAAAAGATCCTCATGTAAAAGTACTGAAACATGATTCTAATGTAAATGTACCGCAGTGCCCTCACTGAGCATGTAATGCAATGGTTAAAATGACCATGCAGGTTTTAACCTCAGTTATGAAAAGATACCAGACTTACAGAATCACAGTTCGTTCTCCAGAATTTCCACAGAGCTAAGCGATACAAAACATTGTACACTATGAAATTAAGTCATTATAGAGTTTATCCTGTTTTTCTGAATTATACAGATGGTTTATTTGTAATAAAAAGTTTCATTGTGTATGTCACTCATAACTCTTTGAATTACTTGATTTTATCCTTCAGGTGTTAATATAGGTGAAGTTCTAGATAAACGTTACAATGTCTATGGTTACACTGGTCAGGGAGTCTTCAGTAACGTAGTGCGAGCCAGGGACATGGCGAGAGCAAACCAAGAAGTAGCGGTTAAAATCATCAGGAACAATGAACTTATGTAAGTAATGGTTTTGTTTAATAACAATAAAACATATGTGACAGTTGGAAGTTTTTCCTGATGTGATTTAAATCTCCCTTTGTTTCAAGTGAAGTGACAGATTACAGCTGTGGTTCCTGCCTTTTCTGCTAATATGAGCCAGATAATGGGAAGCGCTTGAGGACTATGTATCCACACTTCTTTACAGCTATCACAGGAGAAGGGTACTTGCATTTTCATCAGGCACTTTCTCATTTGCAAAACTGCAGGGAACAGTGGTAGCAAGAAACAAGGGTACAGTTAATTATGAGGCCTGTCGAGCACTAAAAATTTTGGAGATGGGAGTTGTGGACTATAAATAATTTTGTTCTGATGGACCAAATCGATTTGGCAGGCTATGGGTTGGAACCTAACCAGTCATCTGCAACTTAGAAAAAGACGTTTGTACATTAATTGTTTTTGTGTGTTCTCTGTGTGTTTGCAAGATCTATAAAAACAGTTGGGACTCTCCCTGTTGAAATAAAAAATAACTGAGGTCATTCAGAATGAGTGAACATTAACAAGTATGATCTATTTAACTGCAATATGTGAGGACATGTCTATAACACTCACTTTCAGTATCTGCTGCGGTATTTCTACAGTCACATATTATGTCCTCGTCCATTAAAGAAAACTTAACATCTTTCCCATGCATTTTACCTTGGAAGTTTTAAAAGTTGTCTTGCTGTGTGTATAACTGGGTTATTTTGAGTCATATGAGTAGGTAGCTAGAAAAGTTGAAGGGAAAAAAAAAAAAGAGAGGGGTGAGAAGCTATTTGGTATGTCATACAGATAATCATTTTGGGTGTGTACTTGACTATAGTCAGTTTAGCTGAAAAACTTTCTTAATAATGTGCATGATTAAGTAGTTTTGTAAAAAAAGCTTCTCATATGAGTGTTGTCTGAAACTAAAGTGTCTTATTACAGGAAGAAATCTAATTTTAGCTTTACATGCAATTGGGAGGGAGGAGGAAAAGATAAGTAGGTTACAAAGGCACAGTGAAGATCAAAGAATGAAATAAACTTAGCCAATGTGTAGACACTGACAGCAAACTGCTGATGTGATTTTTTTTTTGTTTTTTTGAGCCGTGGTACATTAAGTAATTTAGACAAGACACTTTTCATTTTCTGATAATTATAACTGTGCAAGTGAATGTCTAGATTTTAAAAAAGTATTAAAATTTCACTGATTTTGTTTTCTAATCATATTTCTTTGTTTTCAGGCAAAAAACTGGCCTAAAAGAACTGGAATTTTTGAAGAAACTCAATGATGCAGATCCTGATGACAAGTTTCATTGTCTACGGTTGTTCAGGCATTTCTACCACAAACAACATCTCTGTCTGGTATTTGAGCCGCTCAGGTAAGGTGGCAAATATTAGGGTTTCTCTGTAAAAAGTAAAGTACTATTGAGTAATCTTCACCTTTCTGATTTTGGCTGTTGTTTTGATACCTTGTTCTATAGCCAAGATTCAAGAATGAAAGGAACTTTAAAAAAAAAAAAAATTGTCTGGAGGCACAAATCCCTAGACTACTGAACTGTTTCTCATTTACTTAAAGCTTCATTGTGAACTTTCTGCCTGGACAATACTTGAAACAAAATAATGTATTAAGGATGGTTCATCTCACCAGTGCTGCTCTTACTGGTTTATTTTGTGTGCGTGTAACAATATTTTTATTAGTTTTCACAATTCTTTATTTTAAGAGTTTGGATTAAGAGTGCATTCCCAGAGAAGTTCAGCAAATGCTGTATGTTCTGTGAAGAGTACATATATAACAATAGTCTAAGGAAGAATATTGTTAGAGGACTTTCTTTGCATGCTCACTTTTTCTTTAAATAATTAGGCTTTTTTACAGGTTATTTGTAGACACTGTTTTGTGGTAGATGTGGATATATTCATTGCGTTAGTTCCCATTTCTGCTTAGAGACATCAGTTGTTCATATCCTAAGTTTTCTGTGTATGCCATACTTTAGTTTTGGCCATATTTGAGGTGAAGGTAGGTTACATGCTGAAGCAATGCAAATTTTACTAAATTACTGTTATATTTTCATTAGTGAGCCATACAACAAGCCATACATTTGTACATTATTTATATGCAATGATGTTTTTGTCCTGGAATTGTGGTGGTTTTATCTGGTGCTGAAGTCATCACAAAATTGCCTCCTCAACTTGTTTTGTTTGTGTACTTCCTTTTTTATTTATTTCTTCAGCAAACGAGTCCAAAGGCAGTACAGTTCTTAAGAAAATGCTGTTTATGTGGAAATAAGTCCTCTCAACTTAATCTTGATTTAAAAATATGTTCTGAATTAAGTAAGTCCAGTCTAATAAGTAATTATACAGTGTAGGATAGATCTGGTCGACCGGCATTTTTGTTTCATTGCTGTAGCTAACAGAGCGGTATGTATGTTAAGTTGAATGCTGCTTTTCTCCAAAAATGCCTAAAGCTAGCTGGTTTCTTCAAGTTTGTCTTACAGCTTAGGAGGCCACTGTGTTTTTCTTTGTTAAGCTTTTTTCTGTTCTTTCTCTCTTCCTTTCTTTCTTTCAATAGTATGAATTTACGAGAGGTGTTGAAAAAGTATGGGAAGGATGTTGGACTCCACATTAAAGCTGTGCGTTCCTACAGCCAGCAGTTGTTCCTGGCTTTAAAACTTCTTAAAAGATGCAATATCCTACATGCAGATATTAAACCAGATAATATTTTGGTAAGTGATAAATAATTGAAACTTATTTTGCACAGTCTATAGTGTAAAATTAAGCATTTGAAATTAATAGTCTGTTAATTTAGGTGAAGTCAAAGTTTACTTTTAACTGAAAATGTCAAGGGTTCATGTTTTGATATAAAATGCTATTGTTGTATAAATTGTAATTAACAAACATAATACAGCATAGAAATAAAATCTTTTATTTAGTACAATCTTTCTCAGACAAACCTGCATCCACTTGTATCTTTTTAGAAAGGAGAGATCTTCCGAAGTAAGACGGTATCCTTTCTTTAGGAGAAATCTTGGGACTTTTTCCATCAGTAACTGAAAAGTGTTATTGCTTTTTGCAGGATGGAAGTAGGTTGTTTGAGTCTGGATGGAGATTTTGTTTATGTAAATGAGATAATGGGGAAATGTCATTAATACATTTTTTTGTTTGTTTGTTTCTGTTTTGATTAAACTTTCTGGTTAGCAGGGAGTGAGAGCTACATCAGATGAATCAAGCATGTTTCCTTTGGTTTTGCTGGTGGTCATCCCTGTGACAAACTCAAATTTTTATTTTATTTAAAATGTCCTCTTCTTGCCATCACAGCCGTAAAATTTACTATGTAAGCATGAGATATGTGAATAATATGCTGGTTTATGAGTGATACTCTGGATGTTAAAGTGGGAAGTCTAAACTGATACATTTTCAGTATCTGGAATGAAATCCAGGTCCACCAAGGTGATGTTGGTAAGGGAAGAGGACATGAAACTGACCTACTTTGTATTTTGTAGGATCTGATGACATTAACTTTCACTTTCAATTTAAGAAGGTTTTACAGTTTCCTTAGAATGCAGAGAGGAGTGACTGAAGTATGGGAAGAACTTCTAATTTAAAGGCTGAATGTTGTTCTTATCTCTGACTTAAATGTATTGTTACTTCCACAGTACTATTGGTAATTCTGTCTACAAACAGTGTTAATTGATATTTATGTTTAACTTTCAGGTGAATGAGTCTAAAACAATATTAAAGCTTTGCGATTTTGGATCAGCTTCGCATGTTGCAGATAATGACATCACACCGTATCTAGTTAGTAGATTTTATCGAGCTCCAGAAATCAGTAAGTACATTTGGACTGGCTACATGTATCTTAAGCAGTAACAGGATATACGAGTACTAGCAAATGAGAATTTGACTTGAATTTACTCTCTGTTTGGTCTTAGCAAATTACCACTCTGGAAATAAGATGGCAGTCAAAAATTCAGACTTTGAAAGCATGCCTGTGTGACTCTTCATGTGTGTTGGTGGTCAGCTCAGTGAGGACAGGGAGAAGTCATTCTAATTGGTTATAATTATGTTTTAATTTAGAGGTATTGTTCTGACTTCTTGTTTTTTACTAACTTAATTCATGCTGATTAGTGTGGATGTAGGTGAAAACCCCCCTTTCTATAATAGGGATACTGTAAAAGTTAAAAGGCTTGCATCCTGCTTTTACGGTGACTTCTTATTCCTAAGAGGAGGAGCACCAATATAGTTTACACATCAGAATTTTTGTTTTGTGATACTATATTGTTTAACTAGAATTAACTGGAATAACTCTGTTTCAGTTATAGGAAAAATCTATGACTATGGTATAGATATGTGGTCTGTAGGCTGCACATTATATGAGCTTTATACAGGAAAAATACTCTTTCCTGGCAAAACCAATAACCATATGTTGAAACTAGCCATGGATCTCAAAGGAAAGATGCCAAACAAGGTAAGAAAAATAAGTATACGATTTTTAATTAATATCTGAAACTGTTGTAATGAACGGTGGAACATACTTTCTTTTTTCTCTCTGAATTCTGTTTCTTACCATATACATCTTCTCTTAACAGCAAGTAAATATCAGACACCGCTCTGACTGTATAATTTATATTGATTTAAAATCTTATGAAGTGAAAGCATACAGCTTCTTTTTCATAGACTAAGTATAAAGCGAAAGCAGAAACCTTCTAAGCACTGACCTGAAAAAAAATACGTAAGTCAATGGAAGATACTGTAACATTTTTCAACTGGTTTGAACTGTACTTTTTTATTCAATCTAGACATTTCTTACTGTCCTTTTGATACATTTTTCATTAATATTGAATTATTCGTGTTGTAAGAAGTTAGTAGACATTGATGCTAATTGTGGAATTTGTAAGACACGGAGAACTTGCCTGAAACTCTTGCCTTTTCCTCATTTTCCAGATGATTCGAAAAGGTGTGTTCAAAGATCAGCACTTTGATCAAAATCTCAACTTTATGTATATAGAAGTAGATAAAGTGACAGAAAGGGTAAGTCCTTAATGTATCGACTCACCTATTACTTTTTTCCAGGCTTTCCTACTACTACGGTCTTTCAAATGTATCTTGACATCTTAATTACAAATAAGATTTTATAAACGATTAGAATGCCTTTTTGCAGCAGTATGGACAGGATCCGTAGTTATAACCTGGCAACAGAGATTTTTTTCCTATGATTTAGGAACGTGTTGACGACAAATTTAATCTTGGTAGGTATACAGGGTATCTCCACATAGTCTATCCTTAAATTACTAATAGAAGAAACTCTGCCTACATTTTAGAGAAGGTTGTCCAACTTCAGTAAGATGTGCTTATGTTGTAGGAGGTCACTATTCCTTCTGGTACCGTTTTAGCGTAGTATATTTGTCAATAATCACAGAATTAGTGATCAGATGTGGGAACTTTCCATGTGGAATTTTGATGTTCTCCGTCAACTGGGATGTTAGGTTCCTTCGTGCACCCACTGTTGGCGAAAGATGCAGCCTGGCCCAGGCCTGACAGTGTTATTTCCACTCGAAAAGAGAAACCTGCAGAAAAGCTGCTGCTGGCGCTCTGTGAAAGGGATAGGGGTTTTGTGCGTTGCTTCTGTTCTACAAGGTTGCCATTTTTGTATTTGTAGGAGAAAGTTACTGTCATGAGCACCATTAATCCAACCAAGGACCTGTTAGCAGACTTGATTGGGTGCCAACGACTCCCCGAAGACCAGCGTAAAAAAGTACACCAGCTAAAGGACTTGTTGGACCAGATTCTAATGTTAGACCCAGCTAAACGGATTAGCATCAACCAGGCTCTGCAGCACGCCTTCATCCAGGAAAAAATCTAAACCAGATGAAGAAGTTCAAAGGGTTTGAGTAATTAAGATACAAAGACTGAAGAAATTTCACAGCAGTTATTAATGTATATAAACATAAATATTTCCCCTGCAAAGTTGAGGAAGAAATGATACATTTGAGCTAACGTCAAGGCTGATATTTCTTTTAGAAATGTTAGAGTAATTCTGTTTTGTGTCTTATGTGAAAATTTTCACTGTAGAACTGTTTTAATTGCCAAGACTGCACAGAAGTACAATGCTAATGTATATGGTTGCAGTTCGTATATATTATAAAAAGAAAAAAGCATCTGTTATAAAAAAGAAAGAAAAAGAGCAGTAATACTGGGTGGTTGATTTGTTTTTAGCAGACTTGGCTTCATTTTTGTCTTTAAAAAATGGCCAGCATAAATGCTGTTTATATTCACATTTTCCTAGGTGTGTGTGTGCAGGCCACAGCAGCATGCCCTTGGTGTAGTCAGTGCCGAAGGGGGTCTGTTCCTTCTTGAGCCTGCCCGCAGGGATGGTCTCCTCTTTTAAAGCAGGTTGTGTACAACTTTCAGTACACTGAAGGTAAGCTAACCCATCAACATCACCGGTGTTTAAGCTGTTATTTTACTGGAACAACTGACAAATGAGAGACAATAGCATTGTGGCAGAATTCCCTGCATGTTTGATAAATGATCTTGTTTTATTTTCTGGCATTGCAACCGTGGCATAGTTACAACTTCTGTTCTGTTCATCACATTTAAAATTTTGAGAGTGCGCACTTGATGGATAGAGCGCCTTCAGTGTACTGTTTCTTATTACTTTAATTTTTTTAATCAACTTGCTATAGACTTTGTATACGTTTTGTTAAATACAATTCACTATGACATAGAACCAATACTTAAGGAAGAGTTTTCATTTAGTAATTACATATGTTGGGATCTCGTTCGAAAGACCTTATATCTAAAGGATAGATAGACAACATAATGAAATTTTTAACTATTTGTATGTCATTTTGAAAGTGTACTGCTTTATGCTGACAGTGTTTCATTTGTTCATTGTTTTCATTATTTGTGATCATGTTGTCTTTCAATACAGGCATAAACCTTCCACTCTTGAACAAAGCAGCTGCTTTTTAAAAGCGGTAATTGCTTCTTTACCTTTTATTTCTTTTGTAAATGAAGCTTTTCTTTAAGAAATGTGACTTTAAAGTGTTGTCTCTTGCATAAAACAGTTGACACTTACTTACTGTAAAGTGAAGATTGTTCTGCTGCATGTAAAGTGGACCATGCAGACTTCTGTATGTTTTCAGTATGCATCATTAGATAATAAAGTCTTTTGTGAACAAGGCATTTGTAGCCATTTTTAAAAGAATCTGTCTTCAGTGATGGTAAATCAGGTAATTCGTAAGGACCACCCCTGCATTTCCTATTAATCATTTAATTAAAGGGATTACTAAATATTATGATCTTTGGGAGAGCCATAGGCTATGCTATTTAGATATGTAATTATCAGTGCTTAAACAAAAACAAAGCAGAAAGCCCTACAGATAATGTCTGTCTGCTTTCATTGTAATGAAATTATTCCTGTAGGACATGGGATTAAATTCAGGCTTTAACTAATGTTTGTGCTGTTTTTCTCACTTTTCCTTTTGATGGTGCTGAAAGAGAAAAGGAAAGCGAGTCACAGGCCACTCAACGCCTACTCCATGGGTCTGATTTGCTGAGACACCAACTTCACCTTCCTAACAAGGTTATTTCTGACAGCATGTGTAGATAAACATTTAGCAACCAGTTAAGACAGCTTGAAACATTTGAGTTGGTTATACAGCGTGAGGAAACGAGAATCGAGCTTTTCAGGTCCACAGTGCTGTTTTAATGTTCTCTCTGACAATATTAAGAAGTTCGTCTTCTCAATTTTACTAATATATTCTGAAAAGCTGTGAAAACCCCACTGGTTTCACGTACTTTATGATACTTCTTTGAACTAAGAAGGGTTTTTGTATCCATCTAGGTACATAATGGCAACAATCATGCACTCTTAGTGCACTGAAGAATGGAAAAATGACACAAAGCAGTCATTCTGCTGGTGGGGAGTACCCCACCGAGGAGATGTAATGAACTAACTACGAAAACAAGCAGGAGATGGGTGGTTTTATTTGCCTATTTGGAACCTTCAACCTGTCTCTTCTCAATTTATATTGTAAAATTCTTAATAAAAAATAATCTCTCCTTATTTCCACATATTAAGGGATCTTGGTCATACAGGAAATAAAAAAGTTAGTTTTCATGTTTAGTGAAGTTCTAGTTGCTTGCTGGCTAAATGCAGAAAGTAACTTGCACTTTTACAATAGAGGCAGCACTTCTGAGGGCAGTTTTACACAGATGTAGTAATAGCTTATTCTTTCTGTTGCTTTGTACTTTATTCTTAAAATAGGGATCTAAAACAATGAAATGAGTTGGTGATACAGAAACAAAGCAGTAGAAAAGATGCCCCTTAATGCCTACAGAACTATTTTAAGCTATTCTGGAGAAGCATAAAGTTGCTCGTTTACTTGTTCTTTGTGTTGTAGGTGCAGCTCAAAAGAAGATGATGACTACCAGAAGACATGAACAAAGGTTTCTGTCCTATAAAAGATATGAAAAATACTCTTCATGTGGTTCTGTCTTAATCTTTTGGTTTCCAGCACTCCAATTTAGAATTGATTAACACTGCCGCAGTATTGATAATTCCTGAAACGTGCTGTATTAGAATTTGTTACATAGATGTTCTTGTTTCGTTTCTGGTTGAAGACCTTTTTTAACTATGATTAAATGCAGGTAAATAAGCATTACTGTTTAAATGCAGTTTTCTTAAAATTATAGAATGATCAGTACAAAACCTGTGAAATCTAGGAAGAAATCTGCCATTATATTTGGTTAAAATACATGTGTTTTAACTAGTAAATACTTAAGATGATGAACCTTTTTCTTTGTTTTCAGCAGGTTCATTATGTATTTTAATTCTGTCAGACTGTATTGTTGATGTAAAGACTAGCTGCCAGGGGTTACTCAAACAAGTGGGTTTCAGCCCTCCATCCAGTATCAGCTTCAGCTGACAGTTGGTGTTAGCAGTAACAGAAAATGTTTCGTTCTGGCTTCAAAAGCCTCTGGAATGCAGGACTTTTTGACACTGTTAAGGAACCTCTCCAATTGCAGGCAACGCCTGTCCCGGTAGCTTGTGGTCTCTGAGGAGAGCAGAGTAGCTGCTAGGGCCACTGCAGTCAGCTGAATTCCAGTGGTTGCAGCTTGGGGCAAGCAGAACGGCTGTGCAGGAGAGTTTTCACGTTCAGCTATTTCTCACCTGATCTAAGAGGGAGGATAATTTATCTTTTCCTCCTGCACATGAAGATGTAATTTGTATCTTCACCTGAGTCCTGCACATAGAAAGTTTGGCTAGATCTACAGTGCTAAATTCTGTTTCCTTCTTCCTCATGGTGAGAAGGAGCTTCACTTCTAACACACTTAGTTTGCCAAGCAGTCAGAAAGAACAAGATACCAGCCCTGTGCAGTTAGAATGTGTTTTTATTACCTTGGTGTGTACTGCTATAATTTAAAAATTAAAAACTGTTTAAGAGTTTTTGATATAATGATTTCTTTAAAAGCTTTTTAATAATACTTTATCTCTATACATAGGGTAAGTGGCATTAAACCTGTGAAGAACCTGTATGTGTGTATTGACCTGTACACAGAAGGCAGACTGGTCTGTGATATCGCTGGAGACAGAGCCATCTTCCGCAGTATGTGTAAAATTGTGACTCGCATGGAGGCTGTTGGCAAGTGGCAGCTGCTTGACATTAATAAAGTATGCTTAAAACTTGCTTGCGTCCTGTCTTCTGTTGTGTGTACAAATGTCATACTGCAAAGCTGCTAAATGCATGATCAATTTTTAAATACACTACAAACAAAGTGTAGTTCTTTGAATGGGATTGTCTGCTGAGGTGTCAGAGCTGTTAAAGAATCTGTGAAAAAGTCTCCCTGAATATGTGTAAAATGGAGCTGTTGTCTTTTGTTAATTTGCCTCTCTCCTGGACTTGGAAGCCGTGTCGGCGCCAAGGAATTGATGCGGATTTCACTTTGGCTTTCCCCGTGCCTTTTCTGATCTTTGATAGGGAGGTACCAGCCTGTGTGAGTTAGGGGATGAAAGAATTACACTGTGTTACGATGAGGGGAAGCTAGGTATTGTTCTAGATAAATCTTTATAAGGGAAAAATTGAAGCTGGTCAAATGGGAGAAGGAGCTTGGTGAAGTGCGTGGAGTGTGTATTTTCATTTCTTAACTTGTGAATTATGTATCAAATTATTAATCTAAGTATATTGTTACACTCATCAGCTGGGTACAGAAGCAAAGCTATCAAACGTCTCCTAGACTTTCATGTCTTAGTTTTGTTCATCTGAACACTTAAATAACTAAAACTTCTGAAAAATAATTATATATTATAATATTATGGCCCTTCCTTCCATGATACACCTGTTGAATGCTTCATTGTCTCAATTATTTCCTCAAAAACACTGATGTTGATGGCTGTGGCCCAGATCTTTCTGTAATGTAGGTACGAGCTAATTATTTACAAAATAGTGAAAGCACATGAAGTGTACTTACAAAGATTCGGTGTTCAGTTGAAGTTCATGAGACATAATGTGAAGCTACATCCGGGCAAGCAGAAATAAAAAGGTCACAACCTAGAAAGTAGATACTGATACAGTCATGGTCTACTCCATAACTAACTATCCATGGTGTTCTTGTTCAAGTGGGAGTGCAACACATGTGGATTTGTGTTCTTTTCAAAAGAAACCAGGAGGGGGTAACTGAGGACAACTCCAGTACACCCTGTTAAAAGGATGGGACTGATCGCTGCTACCAGGAACAAGGACCAAAGAAAGTCTGTGTGGCTTTAAAAAGGAAAGTGGAGTTGGTCAAGGAGGTTGTTGGGCACAGGGTGGCATCTGCAGTAAGGCTGGGGAAAACAAAGTGTTCTCTTGACAGCTCTGCCCTACCACCAGCTGCACATGCAAGGGGCCTGGTGTTTCATCCATTCCCGGTGGCCAGCAGCACCTGAGTCTGTCCATTCCTGGTGGCCAGCAGCACCTGAGTCTGTCCATTCCTGGTGGCCAGCAGCACCTGAGTCTGTCCATTCCTGGTGGCCAGCAGCACCTGAGTCTGTCCATTCCTGGTGGCCAGCAGCACCTGAGTCTGTCCATTCCTGGTGGCCAGCAGCACCTGAGTCTGTCCATTCCTGGTGGCCAGCAGCACCTGAGTCTGTCCATTCCTGGTGGCCAGCAGCACCTGAGTCTGTCCATTCCTGGTGGCCAGCAGCACCTGAGTCTGTCCATTCCTGGTGGCCAGCAGCACCTGAGTCTGTCCATTCCTGGTGGCCAGCAGCACCTGAGTCTGTCCATTCCTGGTGGCCAGCAGCACCTGAGTCTGTCCATTCCTGGTGGCCAGCAGCACCTGAGTCTGTCCATTCCTGGTGGCCAGCAGCCCAGCCCGCAGGCCCCCGCTGCGCCCCTGCTTTGGCGTGCGTGCCTGCCTAGGTACGCATGGCCAGGACCAGAGTGCTGCCTTTTGGGTTTCTCACTACCGACACCCTTGAGACCAGAGTCTGGAGTGCTGAAATGGAAGATTTATTTTTTTTTTTTTTTAAACAACAGTCAGCTCCTTGTCATTGAGAGGTTTTTCTTGGTGAGTAAGTGCTGCTCCTCCACACTCTCCTTTCGCTGGCATGAGCTAAACGCCCACCTACTTCCTGCAGCCTGGCCCTGTCCCCCGCAACGCCTGGTATGCTCTCCACCCAAAGACATCCATGAACAGTGGAGAAATTTTCTGTTGAGAAACAATTGTTCTGTTAATTCTACTGTAGCCATTTTGGAGTTAAAAGTCATACTGTCTTTAACGGGATTCTTCACAGAAAAAGGGCAATAGGAACCAATTAATGGCAAATTATATTTAAGAACTATAAAGCTCACAACAAACATCTTTGCATGTGTTCTTGAAAAGAAAAAAAGAAGAGTTACTTCCAGTTAGAGAAGTCTCTCTCACGTTCTAAGTCAGGCCAGATCTCTGATGCCCCAGCAGCAATTACTCTCATGTAACAAGTGCTAAGATGTACAAGGCGAGGCTAATTCAAGTCAGTCAAGTGAACACTTTTTGTAAGACTACTGTATTAATACACCTCCAGAAACTACTTCCCCTCTCACTGAGGATGTTTAAAAGAATGAGAAAGAATCAGCACAACAGTAATTCAATATTTCTATTTATTTTTTCATTAATACAGTATTTCCTTCCCCACAGATCAATAAGAAAAAAAACACTCAGATATTGCTATTGAGCCTGCTGCTTCTTTTGGAAGACAGTCTGCTTTAGTATTATTCAGAAACATCACTGCTGCCTACAGAACAATGAACCTGTTTCCACAACCTAAATATCCGTAACGGATCCAAGGCACAGAACATTGTATTAATTTTATGAACCAGTTTTAACCCAGTACTCAGAAGAGAAATATACCACATCAAAAGGTATAAGAATTATTCTGTGAAGACAAAGTTTAGTAACAATAAGGGCAGATTAAGCTATTGCCAGAAGGTGAAATAGTCTGCTGGCGAAGATTAGAGTTTTGATTTCTTCTGAAAGAAGCTGACAATAGCATTTACACACTCATCAGACAACCACCTCTCCTGCAGGACCTCACACTCTTTACTGTTGACCGCATGGAGCTTCTCCTTTTCCATACTTCGCAACAGTTGCTTTGACGCTGCCAAGGACTGGAGGAGAAAGAGAAGAACATCAGGAAGTTACATTTTCTATACCATAACGTTTTAGAAAACAGCACAATAAACACAATGGAATTCAAACAGAGTTGTATTAACACTGTACATTTTAGCTTTTAGTCAACCTGTTAGCTGGAAGTAATTATTGCCTTTAATTACTAATACTGCTAATAAGGTGGAGGAGGTTCATGGGAGGCAAAACAGCAGTCCACCAAGGGCTCCTGATCAGAGGAGATGGGGCATAAGAAGCGAAGCCTGTTCAGCTGTCTGCAGCGCAAAATGCAACCTACGCTATCAGCAGCTGGCACGAGTGACTCCTCTTGTCCAATGTAACATCACACCACTGTGAATCAAATCGTTCTGGAAAACCTGAACTAGTGAGCTGGATGATTGATTTCATCAAGAAGTAAAGCCACCCAGTGTCATCTCGAGCACCCACAGTGCACACAGAACAATTAATACTGCAGAACCAGTGGTACGGCTCTTCAACATAAGTATTGCCAAAATAAAAATTTAAGAGAAGGCATCCAAGGCATGCACACAGAGACTGCAAGCGGATTAATGAGTTTTAAAGGCATTTCAGCCATTGAAGCTCTGTGCACAGTGCACTGGCTCAGACTCAGCCAGGGCAGAAGAGAGGTATTTGTTTCCCAGCGGCAGAGGGACAGGGACACATCTGCGCTTTACAGAAAATACATTGAGCCTTGTTATTTCAGTTAAGGATTAAGTGAAACCAAGCAACAGGATAGGTTTGGCAGAAGGACTGGGAACACTACAGGCTTACAAGGTGGAGACAAATCTAAAATACTGACATTTTTGGGGAGGCTTGCATAAGCTTCCAATCTTGCCCAAACTTCCTTCTGAAAAGTCCTGTCGGGGAAGACTTCAGTCACAAGTCCCTGGGCACAAGCTTCTGCTGCAGTCAGCTTTTTATTGAAAAGCAAAACCTCACTTGCCTATATAAAGAAAAGCAGAAAGCGTGATTCAGTGGGACACAAGACTTGAGTGATCTGACAGGAAAGGTACAAGCTTCCAAGTCACATTTATTTTACTCGCTCGCTCCTTAATGTCTTCCCTCTAAAAAGAGCACAGAATCACAGAATGGATGAGGTCGGGTTGGGTTTTGAGTATCTCCAAGGACGAAGACGCCTCTCCAAGGATGAAGACTTCACAGCCCCTCTGCACAACCTGTTCCCGTGTTTCACCGCTCTCACTATAAATTTTTTTTTTTACATTCAGATTGAATGTCCTGTGTATCAGTCGGTACCCTTTTCCTCTTGTCCTGTCACTGAGCATCACTGACAAGAATCTGTCTCCATCTTCTTTACACCCTCCCATCAGGTATTTGCAAACATTGGTAAGATTCCCTCAAGCCTTCCCTGCTCCAGGCAAAACAGTCCCAGCTCCCTCAGCCTCTCCTCACACGCAATCTGCTCCAGTGCCTTAATCCTCTTTGTGGCCCTTTGCTGGGCCTGCTCCAGGATGTCCATGTCCTTCTCGTAGCCAGAGCCCCGAGCTGAACACAGCACTCCAGCTGTGGCCTCACCCGTGCTGAGCAGAGGGGAAGAATTACCTCCCTCCACCTGGTGGCAACACTCTAATGCAACCCAGGATACCGTTGGCCACCTTTGCTGCAAAGGTGTGTTGCTGGGTCATGGACAACTTGGTGTCCACCAGGACGCACAAGTCCTTTGCTGCAAAGCTGCTTTCCTGCCAGCAAGCCCCCAGCGTGCACTGGTGCACGGGATTATTTCTTTCCAGGTACAGGACTTTGCCTTTTCCTTTGCTGAAGTCTATGAATTGTCCAATTCTCCATCCTGTCCAGGTCCCTTTGAATGGCAACATATCTGGTCTATCAACTGTCCCTCTCAGTTTTGCATCATCTGCTGAGGGTGTATTCAGTCCCATGATCTGGGCCATAAAGAAGAGGTTAAATAAGTATTAGACCCAGTATCCACCCCTAGGGTACACCACTAGTGGCTGGCCTCCAGCTCCTGTTGTTCACCAAGAATCTACATGTCTTTCTGAGCAGAGCTCCAAGGTTGTCACCCAGAATTACCTCATCATAAACTTGTTCACTTCCTGCAGTGACTTCAACATTTCCAGAACAGGGACTGGGAGGCTGCATCTCTCTGAACAGACCACCCTTGACACTTACATGGTTACGAAGCACTTGGTCTACTGCTTGCAGATTTAAATGCTGCTCAACAAAAATACATTACATGAACACAGGCCATATCATCATGTCAGTATCCAAAACCATCCAGCTTTCTTTCTGCGGGATATCTGAAGAAGCAGAAAGGTAGTTATGCTGTCCTAACAAAAGAAAATGTAGATTCTGCTGTCTCTCACAGAATGGTCGAGGTTGGAAGAGACCTCTGGAGATCATCTAGTGCATCCCCCCGCCGAAGCAGGGTCACCTACAGCAGGCTGCACAGGACCGCGT